TTTAGATCCTAGATGACATAGGAAGATTAAAGATGGATAATCGAGATAAAAGTCTTTGCAAACGTTGATTATGTCTTCTCTTTTTTTTCCTACTTTATTACGTATTCTTTTCCATTCATATTCATGTTATTATTATTATTATTATCATTATTATTATTATTATTATTATTATTGACAATATTGCTATCGTTAATATTTAATTAATATTCATGTCGCTCTATTAAATTTATACCGTTATATTGCGCTGTTATTATCATTGTGATCATTATTATACGTAGGAGGTTTCATGAGAGAAATTGTACTACTTGCCTTATAATAAAATTTAGCTTTACTCTGTATAACATTTCGGCCGATTATAATTTATACGCCATCGTCAATGTACTATGTATATCACTGTAAATACTATACATATTTTATAAATAAAATATTTAGCGTGACTGTAATATTAAGAGAATGTACTGAAAGCACCACTCTGTACACTCCACGATGGTTAAATTTTAATAAATATTTCCCAACCCCGTCATCGTGTTTTCAATCTTGTTTGTACCTAATTTTTGGACAATAATCAGTGGAGAACAAATAAAAACGTGACTGCGGTTTTTCAAGTATCTTTTTATTGAGAAAATAGTATATTTAATACCAGTGTCTTCACAGTCTCTCTTATCATTATAAATATAATCTTTTTGATTACTTTATAGATTCAACAGACTTCAATATTCTCTCTTCTTTGGTCATTTTCTTTAATTTTAACAACGTACTCAAACCGTACCTCGTCACCAATTCTTCAACAAACTCGTCCTTTAACTTTTTCAAACATCTGCAAATGCAAATATAATGCAAACATTGACCATTTTATCCCCCCCCCTACTTTACTTTATTGACATTATACGTTTATTGGCACGTTACCTTCTATAAATAGAGTCGGTTCTAAACTTGCCGATGTCGAGACTAGGGGCATGAGGCCGATGGATAATGAATGTATCCGGCAAGACAATGTACCTATATATAAATCTCCAATTTATGGCATCGTGTTATACTGCCCGATTGTTTTCAAGTGATTTACAAAAGGATATTTATGAAACGCCTCTTACTTGTAATCCAGTACAGTCAAGTGTGTTAGGTAGGACACCTTGTTCCATCCGAAACCGATGAATCTGGTGTCGTATCGAGGCGCCAATTTTGAGACAACGATGTACGGCTCGAAATCTGGTTCCCAAGAGACCTGCCACGACATTGATTTATTTACTTACAAGCGAAATGATTTCGTAATCCCGTTTATGATAGAAACGTACTTGGTACGGTTCCATCGTGTTCCTCCAATAACTGTAATTTGTAGCAGCATGGCCTTGAGTCCAGACGTGGTAGCGAAATGTGTATAGAACGCCACGTTTCAAGAATTTCAAAAGTTCATCCTTGTTGGCGGGAAAGTTAAACCTACAAACAATATACGTGCAATGTGCACCGCGCGAGTGTTTGACCGATTTTAAATCAGGAAATACACTACCTATAACGTTCCGTTTCAAATGCAGGGACGATCAAAGCTACTTTGTCCGTTTCGCTGATATTCAATTTAACGATGTAATTCATAAGAGTTTCGTGTAGTCCGTGCTGCGGTAAAAAGTCAACGTCCAATTGAAAGATGAACGGAGTCGATATATACGACATCGCAATATTTCGTAAATAATTGATAGGATAGAGTTCCTGGATGAAAAGAATTCTATATATAGTTAAATATTAGTGTATAATATGTTAATATATTTATATATTTGATTTTGCAGAACATTTCTGGAGTATTCTGTGTACTCGTTGGTTTTGAACGTTACTAGATTACTGGATTCATAGCCGTGTACGTTCATTTACACGTGTGCATTTCATTGGATTTAATCAGCACAACGTGCACGAGAAATGGTGCTTTTTCTTTCTCAAGAATTTGCCGGCGCCAGATTTTGTCCCACTTGTTAAAATAATACATATAGAAACTTATGTATACATATGTATAGAGGATCGTACTGCACCGGCAGACGAGAGAAGAAGTAACCATTCAACCAGAATCCATTCGGGCAGTTTTCACGAAATCAAATGTATTCACATTTCGGATGCTTTCAAAAATACACTTAATGCATAAGAATATAAAATAAAGATACACTCGCGTATTTTTAGCGACAATAATCAGACAAAATATCAAGAGCTAATAAAATAACTCAACATCTCGTAACCACTAGGATAAACTTTACTACCAAAGTATGTGCACAAGATGTAGACTATCGTAATTAGACGTACCCCATCTTTGTACACGACGTGGTATGCAATGTTCTTCCTGTTTCTCAACTCGACGGAGCCGTGCACAAACTCCAGGAAATTCTGCACCTCAGCGTCGGTGAGATATAACGCGACGCTTATGGTACCAGGCCAATGTTTCGATAGGTCTTCTAATAACGGTATCCTTTCTACGCTACACTGAGTTACTAAAGCAACGTCCGTTGGAGCATACACGTTGTACTCATACTCGAGGAGGAAAGGATAAGTGCGATACAACATGGTTGCACCTCTCGTGAACTCTCGACACGGACTCGATTCGTTGTACTGTAAATTCAATACATCATGTGAGTATTAGTATGGTGGAATGGCAGTAGAAATATACGTTTCGCGCGATATAAATCGGGGGACCGATTATTCACTTGTAAAACGTCGAATCGCTTGAATGAAGATTATTCGTCGCTTTATAATGAAAATCGAACTCTTACTTGCGACGAAGTTTCGTGTTTATCACAACCAAATAAGCGTCTACGTAATAAGTTCCCGTCCATCTCAAGGAAGACCTTATGCAACTTGCGAAATTCGTTAATGTGCTTATTGGACACGTGTTGCTTGCGGGGGGAATTCCAATGAATGATCTAGAAGAAATCGAGCAAATCGTGCAAGTCAAGAAGCGAAAACCTGGAAACTGCCTCACGATTCTCGGAGAGGAAACGTACATTTATCTGACTAGTATCGCGATAACAGAGATCGCTGATCGTGTGGTCGCTTAACTGAATGTTCCACGTGCACTTTATTTTATGCACCATCGAGGGATGCTCTTTGATAACGGCATTTATTATATCCTGATCGGCTAAACTAGTTTCTGGTATATGGGCGAGCACACGCTTCGTGACAGCTTCCCACAGGCTCGTAAATTTCCTCTTACGGAGTTGTTGCAAGTGCATTAGCATCACACCGGTGTTAAAGCCTTGTCCAAGAGCCGGCCATGGCCGCTGACCGTAGGACAATGCCTTTATGTACCAATGACTCTGATTTTCCGTCAGCCCTAGGGCCTGATCGTTCGTGAACTTCTCGAACATCTGCCAAACTAAACTAACATCGTTCAACACGGTCACATCCGTGTCGAATACCAGCACTCTATCCTCCCGCATCGCATCCGGCAGAATTAATTTCAACAGGCCGTAAACGCCTGAGTAATGTTTGTTCGGTATCCAGGACACCTTTGGCACCCATTTTTCTGCTTTGTAATACGTTACATTCACTGAAACGTTGCAAACATGCAGGAATCATTATGTCATGCGTTCGTGATGACAGCGTTCGCGTGTGTGTGTCATCCGTTTCTTAAATAACAGGCATTTCGAATTAACGTGCCGTTCGGAAAAATTTATTTCACCAGTGAAACAACAATTGGGTCAACGAGTGTTCGACATTTTTCATACGACTTTCGTTGTTAATCGGTTCGTACACGCAGTGTGAAGCTCGTTCATGAGGGGAAGCGGGAAAGGCTTTAATTCACTGTGTTTAAATTAAGGACAATAAGGAAAACCAGGTAAGGTTGACGTTTTAGATTAGCAACGCGGAGGGCGCAATGAATAGGTACGTGACCTGGCTTAATTGCTGGATAAATGTATCACGTTGGAAGTGGCGTTTCGTTGAGAAAAGAAAAAAAAAAAAAAAAAAAAAAAATTGAAGAAGAAAGTTGTTGAAGGAAAGTCGATAAACGAAGACGTCAAGAACACTTCGGTATCATAAATCAACGTTACGTAATACAATTCTCATTAAATAGAGGCTACACTTTTGACATTTTAATTTAAGAGACGGATGAGTCTCTTAATATAACATAATATAATCGCGCTGATTCTTTTTTCTTTTTTTCTTTTTTTCTCTTTTTTTTTTTTTACGAACCATGTGGTAAATTCCATGTTTGAAACACGGTTGTCAAGGTCCTGTTTGCAATTTCATCAACGAGCAAGTGAAAGTGCAAAGGTTTCGTGCGGTAGAATAAAATGGACTTTGCTACTGTTACCAAAGCGAACGTTGAATTGTATCCGGCGCACACCATCGCAATGTGTATGGCCTCGCATTTTACCTTAAAATAAATCGCTGGTCTATTGATTTCAATATTAAAATCGTCCTTTCATGAAAAATGATTCTCTTCCGACGCTAATTTTACTCTCTTCACTGCGTAACGTAACTAACTGATCGCACGACAGTAACAATATACGCAGAAATTAAAAATAAAATAAAATAGGAAATGCAAATCTTCATTTTTCAATTCAAGGTGCATCGTATATAAACAACCTAAATTTGTACCTTGCGATTGCTTTCTGCGCGCAGCTTTTCCACGTGCGGACTCTTCTTTTCTACGTCCACAGGAGGCGAGTCCAATTTACCATTAATTTTGTAGGAATTGATATCGGTAGAAGGGACTATAATAATACAGGAAATATCAGTGTTACGAAGTAATGTGACAGAGGGCGCGTATATATTTACCGTTCAGTAATAAATATAAATAAAACATTGCTGATGGTATTAAAACGCCGAACAAACATCCTAGCCATGGTCGAGCCATTCTAATATGACAGACATGTTTCCCAATTCGTAGAATGATTAACGAGTGAACTTTATTACGTGAATGCCAAGATCTACAAATGAAAATAGAAAATTAATTGAACGATCGAACGAGTAAGCTACATATTTAAATTTCAGCAAAAACAAATTGTAAATTCAAATCTATGCAAAAACATAACAGTTTCATTTGATCGATGATTACTTGTTGTATTTCTACAAGTTGAAGCAAGTTGTATTTCTACATATGATAAGTTATTCTAGAAAATGCCTTTAATAAATGAAATATTTTTAATAAATGACGTTTATCGCAATAAGAATACTTATCACAATTTTTAAAACTAAATAACAAAGGTAATTGAAATTCTGATAAGTTAACGCTACACCGCTGCATGCTATTATATCATGCCATTGACTATGTGGTTATTCTACTTTCTATATTACCTACAAATTACCTACATACGAAACTGTATTGTTGTTGGACGTATGAGATATTTGAAGGTATATTACAGACGGTTTGACAATCTTATTTCAATTATTTGACATGCGTGGAACGTGAACACGGAACAAAAACAAAAGAGATAGGTTAATGTGATTTGTCGGAATGCTTGCAAGACTGTCGAAAACAACAACGCCATAGAATAATACAAAACTGAATATATGATAATTGATGTGTCTAGGAACGCATACCTTTGACGTCACAGCTTTCTTCATCAACTGTCATACACTTAAATTCATTGCTCCAACTACTTTGGGATACGAGAGTCAAACGTGATTAATTCTATATGCGAATTTGCAAGCACAAATCTCCTCGAGAAGCGGGACTCGTTTGCGTTTCAATGAATCACTGTTATACCCCGGATTGTTTGTCGTAAACTAAGCAAATTTGCGCAATTACAGTTATCTACGAATAACGACGGGACGGCACGCATCCTAAACACTCGAAGCAGGAAGTCTAACATAAATAGTTTAATCACTGGATAACGCGGTGGTAGAATTACTACTCCGTCTGAGCAGCACGACATGAGACGTCGAACAGTCGGTAACTCGTTATGTAGTTACCCACTTTTGTTACGAGAGGGCAACGTCCACTCTGCGAACTGAAGTTAGTCGCGAGTCTCGCAACATTAATTAGATTTTTAAAATCAGATTTCCCTTCGAAACTTCGTTGCGTAAATACAATAATAAAAATACAATAACGAAAATACGATGCACGATGAAATCTTTGAACACGCACAGTTTTAATATTTACATACGAGTTTGTTGAACTACGTATGGTACAACGTCCAATTGCATCGACATCGAAATTATTGCACTGTGTATCGCATTAACAGATAGAGATGATAAAATAATGTTATTACATCTGTGAAAATACAATCGCAATGGGATAATTATATTTAAATTAATATTTAAATACTGATCTTTGGCGGGATACTACAAAATTATATTTCATAATTTGTGTATTTTGTCGATTGTATAAAATTCTAATTATTACGATATCGGGTATTATTACATGGAATTAATATTAATATAAAATAATACACACGTAATATAATAATACATGATGCAAATTGCACATAAAATTTCATATCGTAGATCTTAATCTGAGCTTGAAATAAAGTCTGTCACTGTTACAAAAGAATAAATGTTTCGTTTTATGATTACTACTAAATATAACTAGCTAAATACTATAACATAATCTAAACAAGTAATCTAACTATAAAAGTAGTCAAAATAAATATTAAGTCTTGAAGTGAATAAATGATAAGAATATAATATGCAATGTGATGAGACAAGTTGGAAAAAAAAAATTCGTGTCCATGTGTTTAATTTATTTCTGTCGCCTTACTGGAGTACGATATAGGCTCTTCTCCTTCTTTAAGCGTGCTTAATCTGTGGAGTTCGGTATTTTTTGCTCTGTAGAAAAATTTAAAAAATTAATAATTGCTTAAGTTACCATTTGTAATTTATAATATTAATTACGATTAATACCTATACAATGCTTCCTCCTGTTCTCTTTGTTCTCTTTTTTTCTTTAGAAGTCTGAACCCCACGAAAACAATTAGAAGTATAACTGGTATTAGGCAAGCAAATATTATGCCAGCTGTGATACCTGCTTGACGAGAACTGTATTCCTGTTGACCTAGTATTTTCGATACAATTTTTGATATTAATATAATTGACCACTGCACGAATTGACGAATACAAAAGTAAACATAATTATTAAAAAAAAAAAAGGATAAAGGTTAAGGGATGAAAATAGTAAAAAAGTAAATAAATAATAATGATATTTTTGGTGGAAATTTCCATTCCATTACACAGACTAGTCAGCCGTTCAAATATTTGAATTAAATATGCACTATATGCATGTGGAATAGAAATTTCCTGAATATTTAAAGGTACAGAAAAGTTTATTAAACTGCAATTTTTTACATTAATTAGCAAAGTTTTCATATAATAACGGTACAATAAACCTTCATTATTCAAAACGACATTGCGTTTAATATTTATATTATATATTACGTATTATAAAAGTATAAAGCTTGTCTGCGATATAATAATGTAATAATGTTTTTTAAATGAAGAACATTTCTATTCCACAGCAAAAACAGCATATATACATGTTAAATCTTATTAATTTTCAGTGTAAAATTTAATTCATTTCCTCTGGCGAGTGAATTTATTTCTTCGCATTATTCGCGAATGATATTTCAGTGCGTACGATTTAATTCGGGGGTTATTTCGAAAATATGGCTGCGAATAATTACAAGCGAAAGGATAAAAATCGATGAAAAGAGAGATGTTCTAAGAGAAAGCGTATAAATGACGGACTTTTGAAATGTTAATGTCAATTATATTACAAGAATGTTCTTTCAAGAACGTATAAGATTTGTCTGATATTATCGTTATTTCACACGTCACTCTCTTTACTAGGGCTGCCGGCTTTTTTAATAGAGTCTGTTGCACTATTTTCCGATTCTGTTGGAGAATTGGGCTCCTTTAGATCCCAGTCTTTATCCTCGAAATCAACATCCGGTCTGTTTGGCAAAGGCTCGTGTGTACGATAAACTTTATCATAGGAATGGGGCTTTTTAATCACACTCGGGCTAGTGCTAGTGTCGCTGACGGGTGAAACTGGCCTGTCAAGTGTTTTTAACCGGGACAACAATGTTGAATCATTATCAACACCGGAGCTGCGTTCGGAATAACGCCACGACTTTACGGAACTTCCCTGGGTTTGATTCTTTCGTATATAAAGAAAGGCGCCAGCGACACACGCTGTTACAGGAATTAAAACGGCGCAAATAATGCCCATTGTCGTCCATGCTGTACGCTGAGCATACTCGACCTGACCTATATTTATGTAATACCAAAGAATTTGCTTTTATTCCTTTTTCATAGTCGGCACTACGCATTCTAATGATGAATCATAATTTTTATTTAATGCGTGAAGTAAGAATGGCCATGCAGATTAATAACGATCTTTGAGTGATAGAGATAAATAAGAATGAGGGAACAACGGAATAATTATTCTCTGATACTTTGTTCTATTAAGGAACGAACATGTAAAATTATTAAAATTCAAACACTCACGTAAGCATTCCGTATATCCGTACTCCGGCACGTTCCAACGACCTTCGGGAGTGCAGACACGTCGTTGATCGCCAACTAATATAAAGTCCTGATTGCATTCGAAAGTTACCTTCGTACCTGGCACGAAGAAAAAGTTACTCTTCCGTCCGAAGCGCGGTGTCTCCAACACACCGCACGATACCACTAGAGAAACGTAAAACAAATTATGAAAGATGAGTTATATAATATCATTTTAAAAAAAAACTTTATAACTCACCTCGATCGTTCATATTTAGATCTCTTATTTGAGTATACGTATTATGATAATTTTTCGTAAAGTGAGCCATGTCACGATTGAGCGACATTGCATAGTCATATTGACATTGATATGAATCCCCACAAAGATCAATTGCTCGTTGCACATCGTACGATCTGGAACATAAAGCAAGATAAATATTTTTAAATATTAAATAATTCAATATTTAATCACCCAGTTGTTAAATCGACTGTTGAAACAATAATCACCTGTTTGCAGGTAGTATATCTGCAGGCGACTTCCGCCACTCAGGCTCAAAGGTTCTGTTCGAATAATAACTCGCAGTTCTGCCAAACTCTCTGAGAAACAATGCGCCACCTTTTGTCTCATCTTCTTTGTCTTCCAGCATCCAATGAATTGCAAAGTCTTTGTGCACGGCCTCGAAATGGTTCAAATTGGACGCTGCTACTTGTTGGCCATCTGGATTTGTCAAATCATCCGCAATGTCGAAGTTCCACTTGCCAAACAGTCCCTTGGTTTTATTCTGAAACGAAACGGAGGAATTTATAAACTTTATGTATTATTAAAATCCACGATAAAAATTCATATTCATTTTATAAATAATACCAAGTACGTCCAGGGCAGGTAAACCCTGGCCGACATGAATCCTTCGTTTTCCACTACTTCCACACCAGCGCCAGTGTCGAACATGATGATCACTTCGCTCTGATTTAAAATATACGTGGGCGTGTATACGACCACGCCAGTGAAGTGTTGGAATTTTATAGATGGCCTATCGAAGTACACTCGACGCTTATTCGCAAAGACATCGAGGCGATATCTCCATTGTGAATGTCTCGGCCTCAATCGAACTTCTATGGTTGCTGAATTATTTCCTCTTGCTATGCAAAGAAATTATTCTTAATAGAAATGATACAAATTTCATCATATCATTTTTTTTTTTTTTTTATTTGTTACAAATTAATTACCTGCTACAGATGTCAATTGCGTAGCTCTAACTTCACCGTATACGTTATCCGGTAACTGTTCGAACCTGCCCTGCACGTCCAGTTTATCTCTCAGATTGTTTACACGCACCAGAACGAACTCTCCCTTTCCGTTAAACGTATATTCCAAACCATCGAATGTTGCGATATGAGGATCACCGAACACCGTTCCGACGCCTGGAGACTGATAAGCGATACAATCTTGGCTTGGTCGTCTTTCGAATCTGAACGTTTCGCAACCGACTGCGTGTTCTTCTTGCCACATGCAACACATGTAAAATGGTATCACGTCGTGGTACCAGTGAGAAAGCGTTGGAACCTTGTTCGCCTCGTCCCAAGGATAATAGCCCAAATTGTGGGACCTATGCGGTCTCGAACCCCATTGTTGATCGTAAGTCAACATTAGATAGCCATTTTTATCGTAACAACATTGCTGCTCAGAACCATCCATACTAGAATTGAGAAGCGAAAGTTGAGAACTTTTTACCTATGATATTGCACTTTTTTTTTATAGAGAGAGAGAGAGAGAGAGAGAGAGAGAGATGTTATTTACTTTGGCGCCCCTGTTCTCACACAATGATGCGCATGCTGGTTGTACATGCAATCCAAATTCGAGTCTTTATCACAATCATAATCTGGAAGGAAACGACCCTTGTCACTTAATGCATGCTTCAAGGTGCATGGACACAGAGATACTTCCGCCGCGAAATTCTTCAAGTATCTGTCGTTCATGATCCATCTGTCGCAAAGTCGTTGAGGCCACTTTGCTCCGTATAGTCTTTCCCATTGTGGAGCAAAGTACCAGCCTAGTGGAATTGGTCTACTCCATAGACTCCTACAACAATTTTTTATTAAACCATCCAAGCCTGCCATCCGGATGTAAAAATTCCTAAAAACATTTTCTTTCGCGTATTGTACGATGATTTACATACGGTGTGATGTTAAGGCCAGTTTGTTGCGCTGGATCCGTTAAATTAAGCTGAATAAATCCGAAAGTTATGTCCTGCTGATAGGGGTTGTTAAAGTCGCGATATGTTGCTGGTCTAATGATATAGGAGCCCAAATTCGTATATGCTGCCTATAATTTTCCAATTATATAATGTTTTCTTAAATTGATGATAAAATTATGTAGTTTACAGCGCGGAAGTTATTTATCGAACCAACCTCCAAAGTAGTGATGTATTCGAATTCAGG